CTCTAGTTATTAGTTATAACTGTAACCCTCCACGGTTTATATTTGATGTTGTTGTGTAAAGATTTTACCCTCATGCAATCTTCAAACCTGCCTGTACAAGTCAGTCATTTTGTGCGCTTTGATGGAATGTGCTTTCTTCATTATCTCGTCACACTATGCTTACCAAGAAAAATCATTGCAGCTGCCAGCAAAGGCAATCATCATGTCTGTTGAGTCTGTTGAGTTTATTGAAATTGTTACCATACTACACTCCAACAACTGATCTCTCTCCTTTATAACTGTGCGCTTGCCATGTGGTGGTCATTGTTTGTTTATTTAAAAAAAAAATTTTCAAGTTCCTTCCCATTTTAAAACCGTTTTGTAGCAGCTGCAATATTCCTCTTCTGGGTATTTTTGTTGCTAGTAAAGACTGTAGTCAATAAAAGGTCTTTGTTGCAGCAATTCCAGCTGTGTGCAGGTTAGTCGCTGAACAATTTACTTTCTGCATTTATTGAAGGTAGATGGAGAATCGCTGTCTTCTGTAGCCAATATGTTATCCAATGCGGCTCCTAATTATCGCGAGACAAACGTTATTTTTGTAGCTGTGTAGACCATCAAAGCCAGCTACAGCAGCAACTGTGTGATCAACTACAAATCAACATAGAAATTCAGGTGCCTAGCTGTTACACGTTTCCTAGAAAGTTGTTGGAGGGACATGATCTTTCTCCAACAGTTACAGCATCTGTAGGATACCTGCCGTTTCCAAGATTATAAGGCTGAAAGTCCTTCTGCCAAATCTTTGAACCCAAAGGCCTGTAAGGTCCTCTAATAATGAGCTCTTTGAGGTCTACTGTGGAAACAGTCCCCAAAATAGACATGTGGAGAGCATAGAGATTGGAAGGGCTGGAAAAATTTGGGGAAAACAGGGTTTTTTTCCAAAGCCGTTTCCTTTTTTTATTAAAATTTTTCCGGAAAAAAACCCAAAGTGGAATATGTTCTTTACAATGATAAATAGTATATCTTTGACATGGTATTCAAGCTATATTACATGAAGACCTAATGAAAGATTTCTGGTCTTTATGTAAAGTCCTAAATTACTGCACATTCTCTCAGCTGAAGACCAGCAAATCCTGGAATACAATTCAAGTAACACTGAACTTCTCCATGCAGTTCACAAAATCAAAGAAATCTGCATTTCTACCACCAGAGGCACTGCAGAGGAAAGGCTCCAGTTTAGTTAGCTTGTGGGCATGTACTGTACTTCCTACAGTTGGGTGATTGTTGGTATGATAGTAGATTATAGTTTGTCCTCTCCGGTAAGAGGGAACATTTTGTCTGACAAGATTAGTTTATCTTTATAACCTTTAAATGATTCTTAATAATCTCCCCATCACGGTGTAATGTTTACCTATAGTCCAGTCAGTACATTGTTTGGTTTTTATTTTTTTCCCTCTCAGTAAAATGGTGAGACCAACATCTAGAGTTTGGAAACCTTTCCACCATGCAACTTCTGCGGAGAGCAAAGCTCCAATTTGCAAATATATAACATTTTAAAAAGCAAGTTTAGTTTATTAATAAGCTGGACTTTCATTTTGAGCATAATACTTTTATATACACTGCATTTCACATTCCCAGTGTAACAAAAAGACTTTCAATTTGTAAAAATACTCCACACCGAATTTTTTTCAATTTTTCCAAAAATTTCCATTTTACAGGAAAAAAAGCATGGCTTCAAAATGTCCAGAAATTGTACATCTCTAGGAGAGCAATAGAGTAGTCATCAATATGGCCTGTTGGCTCTCTGCAGCTTTTTCCCCATTACGGTCTTACAATGCCTTGTTCACCCTGTGTCTGTGTGAAGGCAGCCATCTTGTTAGAGAAGCATTGCTTTGCTTGCTCATGTCAGAGCTTCCCCATGATGACTTGTCATGTGATACCAGGTAGGTATAGCTCAAGATGCATTAGGAAACACAGTTCCACAGAATGAATGAAGCAAGAGAAAGAGAGATCCTTGTGCCGAGTGTCCACAATGACCACTTTCTCTCCTGCCAGCCCACAAAACAGTAAGGCATACAGTATAGAACGTTGACATCACAGTACTGATGCAGCAGTGCCTTAAGTGACCTCACACTTCAGATTGGCAGCTAGGAAGATGCAGAAGTACTGAGGTGTAGTCGCATGTCTGAATTTTCCAGAACACATTCAAGGCCTTTGTTTCAGGGTACTGCTTGGGCACAATTAAAATTTCTAGATGTTCCCTATGAGATGGCAAATCTTAACCTGGGTTTCGGGCTTACTTTAAATGAGACCTCCCAGACAATGCACAATTAGACACCTGAGTGGCTCCATAGGACCCTGCAAAGGAAAGCAGCCACTCTGGAAAAGGATATAAGGACCAGTGCTCAGATGACCAGCTGATTCCACAGGAAACTAAAACTTTTTAAACATCAAGGAGCAGTGTCTAATGTAAGCGATCTAATCAGCATGTGAAATAGTTGGCTTAAAAACTTTTTGACTTTAATATGTCATCAAAGTAAAACACTTGTATTTGTTTTTAAAGGAAAAAAAGTTTCTTTAAAGCAAGACCCTGGACAAATCAAATATTAACCCTTGCAGTGGGGATACCCCTGCACTGCTAGGGCTAAGCACTTTCTGTCTAAGGAGCTAAAAAAGGAAAAATAAATCTTGGACCGCTCCCTTCAGCCTTGCTCCCTCTCCGCTCCAGTGGTCTAAGGTCCATTTGAGTGATCAAGTTCTATACAGTGTATAGGACATGAGGACGCCGAGGAACATTCCATTACTGCAGTACAGGAGGATACCGGCTGGGGGGAGTGGTACAGGAGCCAGTCAGGATCGTGGTTCGGGTAAATGTTTGTTGTTTTTGGGGGGTGCTAGACAAAATGAGCATTTAGTCCTTGCAGTGCTGGGGTATCCCCACTGCAGGGGTTGATTTGATTTGCCCGGAGTTCTACTTTAAATTTAAATGTCTGCCCCGTTAGCAGGGAAATAAACCTTTTGGCAGCACCCAATCTCTGTGTTCTGTAACTAGACACTACTTCTCATGATACAGTTTCATCTAGATGTGAACTTTCCCCAATCATCTTCCAGGACAGCAACCTGAGAGATGATTGGTTCCACCTTCTACAGGAAACACAATTAAGGTAGAGCAGTGGCTTATCTTGCAGATGCTTCAGCAGAGTCTGTTCGAGCAGGTGCAAGATCAGCGGCTTTGCTTAACTCAGCCAGAAGGGCTATCTGGTTGAAGTCTTGGGAGGGTGACTTAACATCCAAATCCAGACTATGTGGTCTCCCTTTTGAGGGTGGTTTGATGTTTGGTTCTGGTTTAGAAGATGTTTTGACCAGATAACCGTTACCGGTAAGTCTAACGGAACATTTTCAACACCGGCAGCTAACAGACTTGCCTTCAGCTACAGAGGCTGATGTGTTAATTGCATCCTTCCATCTGCAGGTGCTACTATATGTCAGAAGAATGAAGAGTCCGTGTGTGTTCATAACCTGACATTCTGCTCAATTCACAAAGCTGGCACACCAGGACAAGTATCTTTATTTATAAAAATAAGTCAGTTATTCTCTTTTTAGTCCAATGAAATTTGGAAACAACAGTAACATGACTGAAAATAGAGCGCCCTTAGGTTTGTGTTGAAGCTTTGTGAATTGAGCGTTTCCACTTTTATCATATTTTTTATCTTGGTTAAATCCCTCTCATTTTACCTTTTTACTGTGTGGGGAAACATGGTAAAATCATAAAGTGTAAACCTAATCACCAAGTTTCTTTTGGGTTGCATTTTTACAGATCATGTGTTCTATGTGAAATGTTTATATTCTAGTTGCCATTTGAGATTTTTCTGCAAAGGTCTTCACATGGCTATAAAATGTATACGTGGGCATGATGCTCCTTATCTGTATGGGTCTCGCATGACTACCGTGTTTCCCCGAAAATAAGACAGTGTCTTATTTTTTTTTTTGCACGAAATAAGATACTAGGTCTTATTTTCGGGGGATGTCTTACCTGGCTGGGGGAGGACCGGACGAGGTCCCGGAAGGCGGCGTGCTGTTGCCGGTCCCGGCGGATGATACTCCGCTTCCATCGTGCGTGTGGGCGGGCGGGTGGGCGGGAGCTGCGTCTGGCGTGTGGGCGGGGCGGAAGCTGCGGCCGATCTTTAGATTCAAAATTCAGTTTATGTGCCGCTACCCCGAAAGTAAGACATAGTGGATTTCTGTAATATAAGACCTACCACCGAACTAGGTCTTATTTTCGGGGTAGGTCTTATATTACAGAAATCCCCGAAGCTAGCGCTAGGTCTTACTTTCGGGGAAACACGGTACAGGTAAATATTGGAATGTTCTTTGCAGGGAAAAAAACGTCCAGAGTCCGTCTTTGTAATCTAGAGCAATTTTGTCTAAATTAAACTTTGCTAATCTACATTAGTCTTCATTCGCAGGGCCAATTAATGGCTGTACACCCTCCGTAATCTGCATATTTTGAGGCTGGGATCACGGGCAGGAAGACTGTACAAATTGATGAGCTGCCCTGGAAGCACTGTCTGCACATGTGCAATGTTCGCTTACATGTGAACATCCACAGACCCTGTCTGTCTGTCATTGATTTGTACAGACTTCCTGGCTGAGGCTGCTCACAAAGCACATGAATCCCAGCCATAGAAATATTGACGTTATACGGCACTAAACAGCTGTGTGATATTAGGCCCGATGTGCAAACTTCTTTTTCAATACCCAGTTTGTATTGGTGAATATTTTCTCTAAACCAGGTTGTGTAATCCCCTCTTCCCTTGCGGTATATACTCCCAGCTGCCCCTAACTTGGAGAGACGGTCCCTGTGGTCTCTGACACACACACACACATTTCAGCTGTGTATTTAGTGATTTGTTGGACTTTAGTTTACCGGTTTATGTGCACATGTTGCTTAGTCTGTAGAACTCATGTTTCATCATGGAATGGGATACATTCCACAATTTATATTCCTCTCTCTTTCCTTTTAGGCTATTTCCCAGCAAGATCTTGTGCATATGGCAATTCAGATAGCCTGTGGTATGAGTTACTTGGCCAGACGAGAAGTTATCCATAAAGACCTTGCTGCTAGGAATTGTGTGTAAGTGACTCTCAGGGCTGATGTCATTGGCCACATACCGTATACTCCACATGCAATATTATGTGTGCATTAGGAATCAAATGTTGGTAAGCAACTCATTCTTGAAGAAAATGACGGCACTCAACACAGATTTAATACCAGCAAGATGGCACACAAGTGTTCAAAGTAAACCTTTACTTTTAGACTATGGAGGCTGCCATTGCTGCCCCCTACTCCTTAAAATCCCAGTTGTCAATACTATGAGGCACTGACCCCCACAACATGTATACAAATTAGGATGTCTGACTTTATATCATAAATCAGTTGCTGCAGGCTTTTTTTTTAGGTCAGTGACTCGAAGTATTGAATTCAGAGACAGCCACACAACAAGCATTTCAGATCAATGTCAGCAGTTGTAGCCCCCATGTTTCCTCTTAAAGTTGCAAGCTGTATGGCTGCCATCATGATCCCGGTTCTGGACTAACTGCCGAGTAAATGGCTGAAAAGGGACAAGCATGCAGTCAATTTAGCTGGCCTTACACTAATTTTTTTTATTTTTATTTAGCTGCAATATAAGATTCCTCTATCCACACCAAGGAGCATGGATGGAGAATGCCCCCACTTTTTCGCCGGCCGCTGTCAGAATACTGAGGGCTGGCTGCAAGCATTGTTCGGCCGAAGATTTTCCAGCCGGCTCCTTCGATCTAATGGAGGGATGCCGGGCGGAATAGTGCCGACAGGGGCACACACTGAAATTTTGGCCGGTTCATGAAGAACTTGCTGAAATTCACATAGTGTAAATGGCCAGCGCAAGTCTGAACGCCTATCCAGCATACTTGGTCCAGGTCTGTGAATCACTAGGTTGTGAATCACTAGGTTATTTATCTTAATCTAATTTAATTTAAATTATTTAATTTAACAAACAAGTTATTGAACAGGCCACTCGTGATCCACTAAACCCTAGAAAATAAAACTACAGTGAAATAATTAATCTTATATAATCCCTAATATACACTAAAAATAAAAATAAATAAATAAATAAATAGTAAGGGTGGAATAAAATAATGTCTTCCATGAGTGGGTATGCAACCAGGTGCATGTCATGTGCAATGTATGCGTTCCTTGAACATGCGTTCGAGGGGGAATACAATTGTGCTAGATGTGAGCGAGTTGTCTGTTTGGAATCCCAGATTCTGGATCTAA